ATAGAGATATTTCTACAGAAAGATATATATATACAGAGATAAAGAGATATATATTTATAGATATATAGATACATTTAAACAGATATAAATATATATTTACATATATATATAGAGAGAGAGGGAGGGAGAGAAATACAGAAATGGGTATCTACAGAGATAAATATATATATTTATTTATAGATATATAGATATTTAAGTATAGCTAAATATATATTTATAGAGACAGAGAGAGAAATACAGATATATATATATATAATTAGATGTATATCTATTGAGAGATTAATAGAGATATAGAGACACAGAGATAGAGAAATACAGAGATATATTTATAGTTAGATGTATATTTATTAAGAGACTGATATAGAGAAATAGATATTTATACAGATATAGATATATATATTTATAGACAGAGATATACTTAACAGATATATATAGAGAGAAATTGATATATATATATATATATATACACACAGAGAGAGAGAGAGAGATAAAGAGATATATTTATAGATATAGAGAGATATTTATTATATAGATAAATAGATGTTTAGAGAGAGGGAGAGAAATACAGAGATGGATATATAGATGTATAAATATATGTAGAGAGAGTGTTCCTGACTGACCTTCCTAGGCCGGCCTGCCTTCCTTCGTATACAACACAGAGATATATTTATAGTTAATTTATTTCTATTGAGAGATTGACAGATATATAGAGAAATAGATATTTATAGAGAGAGAGAAATTGATATTTAGAGGTATTTCTACAGAAAGATATATATATATATATATACAGAGATAAAGAGATATATTTATAGATATTTAGAGATATTTAAACAGAGAGAAATATATATTTACATATATATATATATATAGAGAGAGAAATACAGAGATGGATATAGATATATAAATATATATAGAGAGAGAGAAATATATATATTTATGGAGAGATATATTTATAGAGACAGAGATATATTTACAGAGATAGAGATATTTAAACAGAGAGATATTTAATAGAGAGATAGAGATATTTAAATATAGATAAATAGATATTTAGAGAGAGAGAAATACAGAGAGATATCTATTTATAATTAGATGTCTATCTATTGAGAGATTAATAGATAGAGAGATAAAGATATATATATATTTACAGAGATAAAGAGATATTTAAACAGAGAGAAATATATATCTACATATGAAGAGAGAGTGTTCTGGATATAACTATAGAGACAGGGAGATTTATAGAAATATAGCGAGATCTAGATATTTATTTATAGAGATTTATATAGAGATATTTATACAGTTATATAGATAGATAGATAGATAGATAGATAGATAGATAGATAGATAGATAGATAGATATTATATATATAGAGAGAGAGAGAGAGAGAAAGAGAGTTCCTGACTGACCTTCCAAGCCCAGCCAGGTCAGGAGATATATTTATATATAGAGAGAGATATTTAAGAGAGAGAAATATAGAGACATTGATAGATATTTCTACAGAAAGATAGATTTACAGAGAGATATATTTATAGATATATAGAGATATATTTAAAGAGAGATTAATAGATATTTATGGAGAGATATATTTAGAGAGATATATATATTTAAGAGAGAGAAATATAGACATTGATAGATATTTCTACAGAAAGATAGATTTACAGAGAGATATATAGATATATATATTTATAGATATTTATAGAGATATTTAAACAGAGAGAAACATATATTTACATATAGAGAGAGAGAGAAGGAGAGAAATACAGAGATGGATATAGAGAGAGAAATAGATATTTAAAGAAAGATATATATTTATAGAGACAGAGATATATTCAAGAGAGAGAGAGAAATTGATATATAGAGGTATTTCTACAGAAAGATAAATATATAAAGAGCTAAAGTGATATGTATTTAATATCATTATTAATATTACATGTAATGTAAAATATATAATATAATATTGTTATTATTAGCAGTATATTAATTATAATATTATATTATATGTATGTACAATATATTATATTACCACCATAGCACATACATAGAGACTTAAAGACATATTTATAGTAATATAGAGAGATATTTAAGTATAGAGATATACATTTATATTATATTATATGTCTGTTTAAATAGATTATATTATTAGGATAGCACATAAATAGAGAAAGATATATTTATAGAAATATAGAGATATACATTTATATTACATTATAATATTATATTATATGTATATACAATATATTATATTATTAGCATAGCACATATAGAGAGAGACTTAAAGATATATTTATAGAAATATAGAGAGATATTTAAGTATAGAGATATACATTTATAGGGAGAGACACAGACAGAGATAGATTAAAATGCAGAGATAGATATATCAAGAGAGGGATATTTATAGAGATAGATATAACTATAGAGACAGGGAGATTTATAGAAATACAGAGATCTAGATATTTATAGAGATTTATATAGAGATATATATATAGAGATATATATTTATGA